GTCCTTGTTACTACTAGTAAGGCACCTGTTACTAGTAGTAAGGCACCTGTTACTACTAGCGTGGCACCTGTTACTACTAGCGGCCTTGTTGCTACTAGTAAGGCACCTGTTACTAGTAGTAAGGCACCTGTTACTACTAGCATGGCACCTGTTACTACTAGCGTCCTTGTTACTGCTAGTAAGGCGCCTGTTACTAGTAGTAAGGCACCTGTTGCCACTAGCGTGGCACCTGTTACTACTATGTGAGCGCACGTACGAACGAGCGAACGCACGCGCAGCTGTTTACGCTCACAAGGACGAGCGACGCGTCGGCGGGTGAGACAGCACGCTACGCCTAGCTACGTGCCACTTGAGCCAAAAGTATTGGCCTTGAGCCAAGAGTATTGGCTTGAGCCAAAAACGAGGTGAACTATGTACACCTACGCAGCTCCTACAGCTACACATGCAAGTGAAACAGTAAGAACATGAACCATGGCAAGGCTAGCAGACATCACAGTCGCCCCTCAGATGCTTTTGCGCAACGAGTGAAGGCATCTCTCTACCTCGTCTGCCTTCGCCTACTGGTGGCCCTACTATAGTCCATGACTAGCAGGATGCGCGCCTGGCCGGCCGCAGCAACCCCGATCTTCTGCTCAGGCACCGCGTCGTTTCCGACCGCCCATGCAACTACTTCGTCGTTTTCCACTCCTTCGCCCAAATACTCGTCGAGCAGGGGTAAGGGACCGAGAGTGAGTCAACAGGACTTTCATTCTGCTCATATCCCACGACATTTGGAGCACCGTTCCTCCAACTGCGATCCCGGAAGCATCCGCAATCTGCTCCAAAGGACAAGAACCGTCTGCTGCGGAAGCCTCATCGAACGTCGCTAAGGCGATATGGTCGCAGATCATCTTCTTGATCGCCTTAAACGCTTTGCAAGCCTCGGAATCTCCTGACCCGATTCCTCCTTCAACAACCTGTTTTTGAGAAATGTCGCCAGAATTCCCTGGTATCCTTCGGTGAGTGAGCCAGTCGAGGCTTTGCCTGTTCATCGAATTTCCCGGGTTCCAAGGTCACAGTCCGTTTTACCTTCCCTGCGTCGACATCTTCATAAAGAGAGAAGTCTGGGCCCTTTAGCAACTCAGCCATCTCTTGCTCTTGGTCGGTGGGGTTGATCCCGGTCAGTTCCAAAGGAGGAGCCTCAGAGCTTTCATCCTCGAGGGATGGCTCAGTTTGATCTGGCGGCGTTTGTCCCACCTTTTGATCTGGGGAGCTTTGCTGGCTTTTGGAGTTTTCATTGTCTCCCACTTTCTTGGCTCGTTTCCCTTCTTCCACCATCTCCTTGGTTTTCGAAGCTTGTGTCTTGCGGATTGCTTCCATTTGCTCAACAACTTGGGCTTCCGTCAAGGAGGGGCCGCTTTTCAGTCCACCTCTTCGAAGGATTTGGAGTTGGGCGGCCCAATCCATTCCTTCCCATTTCACCCCTGTGGCGTGGGAATGTGGGCACGCAGTGGGCTTGTTGCGCCCCCTGTGGGACAAATTGTCCCAACAGAGATATTTGGCACCCTTCTTGAAGTGCTCGAGCTGCTTCTCTCCCAGTGAGATTGGGTCCCATCAGCCCCTTGGGTTCCTGATTCTTGCCGGTTTTGGGCCCCAGGCGCGATTCCGACGCCTCGGTTCCCTCGCCGGCCTTTCCTCCATGGAGGGGGTTGTTGGGGCTTTTCTTCAATGCGACTTGCCAGCAGGCTCGAGACAGCATACGGTTGTGCCGGGGCAGTACATCAGTCTGGAAGTACTCGCTGGGGTCTTCCAAGTAAAAGGTCCTGGGGAGTCTCAACCACGGTTCACCGTCTTCTTCGGGCGCGGTCGCAAAAAACCGCATACGTTCGAAAGATGGTGCTTCCTCTTTCATCGCCCGCCGTAGGTTGCGATCCAAGTCTCTCATCTCTTCAGTGTACCTTGACCAGAGTTCTTCCCACACACTGAAGATGGCATGAGCCGGCCACATGTAAGTATGCGCTTCTCCCAGTTTCAACAGGAAGGTCGCCGCTTGTTCAAAGGAAGAGTAATGCTCGGTGCCGTAAACACATGCAATTGCCCAGGCTTGCCCAAGGCATTTCGATACCAAGCGTTCAGGGTGACCGGAACCTTTGGTCTCTTCTCAAGCTTGAGGTCGGCACATCCGGCCCAGTTGTCGAACTCCTCTTCTCCGGTGAGCGGGAAGTCTGCAGCCGAAATGCAGTACTCAGGCAATGACTTGATGTCTTTGCCACCGAAGCGCATTGCTGCTAACCCATAAGCGATCCGGTTGCTGATATTTACAGGGAACTGCATCGCTCTGAGCTGAGGTCTCCCTTGAGTGGACGTAGCTCGGAGGGCGTGGAAAAGTTCTTTCCCAACAGTTGCTGCCCCCAGCGAGACATTGACCAGGAGAACGAGTCTCTCCTCCACTTTTCCAGTAGCCGCAACTTTGCCACGATCTTGTCCGGCTGCCTCGTCTTTGGCTGCCATGGCCTTTGCAATCGTCTGGAGAGCTTTTGAGGTCTCGTCGAGTTGCGGTGGCTCTGCGTCACTGTAGGCTCCGATGTGCCTAGGCCGAGAGGCTGCTGCAAAGATCCTAGCAGCATCTGGTATGGTGTTGGAGGGATTGGCTGTCATCACAGTGGGGAGGTCTTGAGATCCTTTGGGTCTGAAAAACGCTTGAGGATTAGAACCGGCGGGATGGAACCACATTGTGCGCTGGCGTTGCAACTTGGGGGGTTCCTGCCAACTCTCCTGAGAAGGGGCTCTGGCTTGCTGGGGTCCGAATGCTCAAGACAGGGTCTTCACCCTCGGACTCGAGCCGCCTGGCAGGGCAATCCTCAGTAACCAGTTCGATGATCGCCTTCTTGGCTAGTTGAGGGTATTCTTTGGGGAGCTTCGCGACATACTGTGTTGCTTGGTCCTTAAGCTCTTCCCAGGTCTCGTGTGGCCCACAACTGGGCGTTGCGCAGTTTTCAAGTGCTTCTCTGGGACCTTTTCCCTCGAGAGCGAGCCTCAGGTATTTTCCCAAAAGAGCAGCTTTCTCGGTGCCTTTGGCAGGGGGAAGTTCAGAGCTCTCACCGGGCGCGGAACGCGCCTCGGTGATCGCTTCTGGGGTCCTTTCGGCTGACACACTTCTTTTGGGCGCTTCGTTCCCTTGGTTGGATCTGCTCTTGGAGGGGCGGGGCCTCTCATCTTTGGAACTGTGGGCCTTACACAATCTGAGCCCTCCTTTGGTGATCTTTACCTCACGGTCGCATCCTTCCACGACGCAGGTGTGTCTCGCGGCTTGTCCCTCATAATGAAGTATATAAGTTGCCATCCTCATGTCGGAGGTCCTCAGCGCTGCTGATCTCGGCATCGGAACTCAGCAACTATCACTTTCTCTCCTCTCGCTGCATCTTTGCACGCAGTCAGCGACAGTGGGGTGGCCTTTCCTTGAACGAGAAAAGCAACTGACTCCGCTTGACATTGCGTCTCGTCATCAATCTCGGACTCTGTTTCGGAGTTCTCATGTCTCGGTGTTGACGTGCCGCTAGAAGGCGCGGCCCGATTTCGGGTCCTTGGTCTGCGCGCTCCACATCCCAAGCAGCACAGGCATGTCACCGCTCTTTTGACTCCCCGGTAGCAGCTCCCGCATAGGCCGACACTGGTATATCCACAAAGCCATGCAGCTGTTGCACAACGAGCTAAAGGGCCTTTGCCTGCAGCATCTTGCAAGTCATACTCGGCAGTTCGAGGTACAACTGCTGAGGCGATCACGTGAAGGCAGTCATCATCTGGTTGTGTGCAGGGGCGAGCGGCGCACAAATGGACACAACAACTCATGCCCTCCAGTTGGTTTCGGAAGTAGCGATGAGAGGCTGCATGAACATTGTCGCACTCGGCTTTGAAGCCGCGCCGATTGGTACGACCCCGTAATGTGCCGTGCCTTCAACCGTGTGCTACTCGCATTTACTTACCAAAGGGCACAGCAAAGGAACAAGGGCGTGGAAGAAAATCATACAAAGTCTTTAGTCTAAATCATCTTTATCAAAATGAGGAAGATTATTAGAATACATATTTCATAAATCCTGAGGAATGAACGACCCTGCAATCTTCTCCCCAAAAGTCCTGAACCCGGCCAAGTTCGTAGCATAACAGTGTATTATCTTGCACAGTGGACTTACCCTTCATCACGCTTTATTTTGCGGGAAAAGAGCATGAACCTGAACGAACGGCGATAATAGTCTTCAACCGAACTGTCCGAAAGTGATCAGTGCACTGCTTTGGTCAGAGCAACGACTTTGCTGAAACAAAATGTGTTTACACAGTCATTGAATGCACTTCTCTGCAGTCCTTGCGGATTTGTCTCACCCAAACAGCTGGTGGTGCAGTACCAGTACCACCTTGCAGGGAGGAGGTATGGATGCTTGTATTATTTTTATCTATCAACTTCGTGATTGTCCAGATATATATATATATATACATATAAATCTCAACAAGTTTATTCAACCTCCATCCACCTCCTCTTTCGAACAGCGTGTGCAAAACAGAACCAAACACGAAAGAGAACCTGTTTCTGAAACACCGTCCTGATGTTGGCAAAGGAATATTCTGGAGCTTACGGGCAATCAGCAGCTTCATGTGATAGGACGATGGGATGACAGCCCATTCCTTGTCTGTGCCGGTGAAGATGGGTGGCAAACCAAATGTGATGGCATCCTTGTCGATGACCCCGCCCACGTTTTTCTCCGCAATCATTCTTGCACCTTCGTCAGTCTCAACATTCTTCACCAAAGAGAAGCCTTGCTTGGCGATGCTCTACAGGTGAGCCCTGGCCGCTGCATTTTCCACACACGAAGGCAGCCCGGGACATCGCACAACGGCAAAGGGGTCGAAGGTATCTTTCTTCCGAATGAGGCTCTCCAAGGCCTGCTTGGTGGTGTAAATGTCGCCACCGAAGTAGTTGTAGAACATCTCTGCCAAGTCTGCGTCCATACCCCAATCATCCTGCAGCATCTTCTTCATGTCGGACTGTCGCACTTCACCTATGATAATGACTTTGCGGATGTCTCTGAAGTCTAACCCTGCAGCTTGCAGGCGGAAGGGATACCCAAACTCTGAAGATATCAGCAAGACACTTGCTTGCTTTGTCTGCTTCGTCCATTTTGTGACGGCTTGTAGAGCTGACTTGGCCGCCGTGTTCGCATCTTCACCTAGTCCGGGCAATGCCAAATTTGCCTCATCCACAATGAGACTGGGGATCCTACCACTCCTAGTGGTCTTGTTAATAAAGTTTTCAATGTTTATTTGTTTTGCTTGGACTACAACATCCAGCACACCCTTTGCTGCTTTTCCGGCTCCTGTATATCTCTTACCTGCAAACATGGTGACAATATGCTCGATCACTGCGCGCAAGAGTTCCGTTGCCCGCGTTGCCCACTTCAGA